ACCGAGCTTGCATGCAAAGATCAAACTTGAAAATATCAAGAACACTAAGAACACTCTTGAAAATATTACAAAGAAAAGAGAAGGTTATAGCTAAGAAAAAGTGAAGTTATCCAATAAGTGAAAGAGAAGAGAGTATTTATAGGAAAAAAAATAAAAAACTTGTAATATAAGAAAAGAAAAATGTGGGAAAGAAGATAGAAAAAATGGGAAAGAAAATATGTAAGAAAAGGTGAAAGAAGATAGGAAATTTGAGAGAAAAGTTGGAATTTTCGGACAAAATCCGTGAGTGATTTTTCCGTGCGCATTCGCTCACGTCTCGGGCGGCTTTGCTTCTCGGGCTCGTTTTGGGCTCGTCCGAACTCGGAATTGAGTTCCGTTTTTTTCTACGCGTTGCTAACGAACCCCTCTATTCAATGATGTATGCCAATACAAATTTCTCCCAGAATACAATTATCTAAGGATTTTAACTTCCAAGGTGTCGACAACTCTCTCGATTTTACGCTTCGGTCCCGTACGAACTCATCCGAACTCGAAATCGAGTTCCGCTTTTTCCTGTGTGTAGCTAACGAGCTCCTCTTTCCATTAATGTGATCATGCCCAATAACTTTCCAAAATCCTGCTCTTCCGAGATTTTCGACCGCTTCTTTATTTTACAAATACTCGAAAAATACAAGAAAAATATACAAAAATCCACACAAATACTTAAATATTACAAATCACTAAAAAAACTAAAAAAACTACCCAAAATCCCACAAAATTACTAAAAATACATAAAAATAATAAAAAAAAACATTAATAAAAATATAACAAAAATAACACTAACAACTCCTCCACACTTAATTCTTTGTTCGTCCCGAACAAAGATAAAAACTTAAACAAAACAATTCAAACATTTTTTGTTCATTTTTTTTCCTTTTTTTTTATATATATTTTTTTTTTCCTTTTTTTTCGTTTCTTTTAAAAACCAAAATAACGTTACTCCCCCACACTTAATTCTTTGTTCGTCCCGAACAAAGATAAAAACTTAAACAAAAAAATTCAAACATTTTTTTTATTTATTTTTTCTTTTTTTTTTATATATATTTTTTTTCCTTTTTTTTCTTTTCTTTTTTTTTTTATATATTTTTTTTATAACACACAATAACAATAAAAACCAAAATAACTCTCCATCATTTCCTCCGTCGTGCGAGCACCGATATCTCCCCCGGCGGCATTGTCCACCATGTATTGTAGGTTTCTGACGAGAGAATCGTAAAAACTGCTTACCAATACGCCGGATGGAAGATTAGATGTGGGCACTGTCTTTGAAGGTCTTTCGATCGCTCCCACGCCTCATGGAATGGCTCATTGGGATGTTGGGCAAATGAGACGATTTGGCCTCTCAACTCCTGGGTCTTCTGGTGGGAATAGTATTTCCCAATGAACTTGGAATACACTTGCTCCCAAGTAGTGAGTGAGTCGGGAGCAAGATTCATAAACCAAGCCTTTGCCCGGTCCTTTAATGTGTGCGGGAAACACCTCATTTTTAGTTGGTCCTCATTTAACCCTTGAAGAGGAAGGGTTTGGAGGACATTATAGAACTCCCAGATGAAATGGAGAGGATCTTCGTTCGGCAAGCCATAGAAGGATGGGAGCTGGTTGTAGTGGATTGTTTTTAGCTCGTAATTCCGAGCCGCAGGTCCCAAACGGATGCAAGAAGTCACTGGTCCAATCATCGGTTGGGCCATCTCTCGGAGGAGAGAACGTGGAGGTGAATTTTCCCTTTGTACGTCTTGGTGCGCCATTTTCTCCGGATCTTTTGATGTAGAGGTGTCCGGAGTGAATTTTATTTTTGTCAGTTTCTTTTTGCTCTTTTCGTCTTTCGGAGTAAGAACAAATCCGCTCCTAGTACGCATACAAAAACAAAGAAACCGTCACAAGCACCAGATAGAAGAAAAAAAATATATATATATTTTCACAAATAATAAAAATATTAATTTTTTATATTTATTTATTATTATTTTTTATATATATATTTTTTATGTCTTAATAAATTTTATTTTATTTTATTTTTTTACTAATTAAAACAAATAAAAAGAATTGAGCTAAAATGAAAAAAAATTACAATTTATATATAAATAATAATAATTAAAAAAAATCGAGAGAACTACAAAAATTAAGAAAAATCACAAAAATGAGAGAAACAAAAAAAAAATGAGACAATTAAATATCTAACTAGGCATCCTATTACCTTCCCCGGCAACGACGCCAATTTGTTCGTAGGATTTTTGTGGGTATTTGGTAACCGAGTTACCCGACCTCGGGTCGATCTCAAGGAAGGTCGTTCGGAGCTTTGTTTTTTATTTAATTGTCTAAATACAAAAATGAGAAAATAAACCTAAACATTCTACTCCATTTTGATGTGGTTTTATAATTAACTAAAATTCTTAATTTAATTTAACAAACATAAAATGAAAAGAACAGTGAATAAACAACAGTAAAATAATAAAAATGGTAAATAGGTAAAAAGAATAAAGATGAGAAAAGTGTTAGAGAATCGGGAAATAGTTGTATCAATTCTAATGATAACTTTGAATTGTTAATCGTTCGGTTAAATGATTCGATAAACAAACTTATTTAGAGGTTCATATTCCATTCAGTTACGAGTAAGAATATAAACATAAATCAATGTATTTGCTTACCACTTAACATATAAGCAATACAGTTACGTGGAAACTTATTTATTTCGAGCCGTGATCAATCAACTTCGCCATTTTCGGGTTAAAAGTCGATTAAGTAGATTTAAAAGAATGTTTAGTTCTACTTAATTCATAAAAATAAATATAACTCAAAATAATAGGAACTATCAACAATTCGTCATCATCATCGAACCGACAAAATCATTTCCTATCCCTAACGATGAGTTTAGTTTGTCATGATTTTATTGACACAAATAATAAGAATAATCCAAGCTATCGTTTTACTCATAAAAACATTCGAACGATAACTTACGATTACGATTAAAACATGACGTCAATATATCACTTAGAACTTTTAGGGAAATGAAAATAAACAACTTAGAAGATTAAAACCGAGCTTGCATGCAAAGATCAAACTTGAAAAATATCAAGAACACTAAGAACACTATTAAAAATATTACAAAGAAAAGAGAAGGTTATAGCAAAGAAAAATTGAAGTTGTCCAATAAGTGAAAGAGAAAAGAGTATTTATAGGAAAAAAAAAAATAGAAAACTTGTAATATAAGAAAAAAAAATGTGGAAAAGAAGATAGGAAAAATGGGAAAGAAAATATGTAAGAAAAGGTGAAAGAAGATAGGAAATTTGAGTGAAAAGTTGGAATTTTCGCACAAAATCCGAGAGTGATTTTTCCGCGCGCATTTGCGTACTTCTCGGGCGGCTTTGCTTCTCGGGCTCGTTTTGGGCTCGTCCGAACTCGGAATTGAGTTCTGTTTTTTTTACGCGTTGCTAACGAACCCCTCTATTCAATGATGTATGAATACAAATTTCTCCCAGAATACAATTATCTAGGGATTTTTAACTTCCAAGGTGTCGGCAACTCTCTCAATTTTACGCTTCGGTCCCGTACGAACTCATCCGAACTCGAAATCGAGTTTTTCTTTTTCCTGTGTGTAGCTAACGAGCTCCTCTTTCCATTAATGTGATCATGCCCAATAACTTTCCAAAATCCTGCTCTTCCGAGATTTTCGACCGCTTCTTTATTTTACAAATACTCGAAAAATACAAGAAAAATATACAAAAATCCACACAAATACTTAAATATTACAAATCACTAAAAAAACTAAAAACTACCCAAAATCCCACAAAATTACTAAAAATACATAAAAATAATAATAAAAAATATTAATAAAAACATAACAAAAATAACACTAACATGGCACTCTCACCTTCCCCTATGCGGTTAGTGGTGTTAGGCGGCGGGGGGTTTGGTTCTCTCCAGCTCGGCTAGTGGTGTTTGACGAGTTCGGGTAGGTCTGGTGTGGGGGTTGGCCGTTGCTCTCTTAGTTGGGGACAGGTCGATACGGGGATTGGTTTGGGGTTCGGCTGATTATACTGTATAGGCGATTTTGCAGTTTCGATAGCAGTTGCTCGAGCCTAAAATCTTTCTTGTGTCGATCGTTCACTGCGGGTCTGGTTCTTTCGTTTGATTGGGAAGGGCTCTATTTTGATTTCTTTTATATTGTTGCTTGGATCTGTGTTAGTTATGTTTTTGGTCTGGGTTCCTTTCCCAAGTGTTTTATGTCTTATCTCTTTGGTCTGGGCCGTTGGCCTCTGTGTGAGTGGGACAATTTCTTATCCTGTGGGGATCTGCTCTTATCTTTATTCTCTTGTGGGGAGCTTTTCGTTGTAGTTTTTTTTTTTGTGTTTGTTGTGTTGTTGTCTTGTTTTGGTTTCTGACATTTGTTAGTGTCGGGCTTCTAGGCGGTCATCAGATCTGTTCTCGCATTTTACTCAACTTAGGGTTGTGTTATTCAACTTTGGGTTATATTTTTACACTTTTGTGCATTTGTTATATATATTCTCTATCGTTTCGAAAAAAAAAGGGTCGGGCCAGCGGGCCTCCCATGGATGACCCTTAACCGGCCCGCCAAAAACCAAGAGTCAGGTGTCGAACCGGCCCTGTCCCGGCCCGGTCCCAGACTGTCAGGTAAAAAAAAAAAGACCTGAAAACGACCCATAAAGTCACGATACCACTTCTCGAAACCAGCAACCTACGGGCCGGGACCGGGAACGGGAACGGGAACGGGGCGGCCTGTGGACATGTCTACATCCAACACACAAAATATGAAGGACAAACAAAGGTAAATTATGTGAACGAACTCCAACCTCAATGTCAGGGGCCTTCTGGGACATTCCGTAATCTTACTTCATTTGAGCCACAAAACAGTGTTTAGTTTCTCTCCAGATCCACTCTTCTTTGCAGGTAGCACAGTAAAATCCAAACACAAAACTTTCGTTTCCTTTGCCTATTTCTGCTAGTTGATGGCCGGCACGTGCTCCCCGCCGGCGCCTCACGTGATCGGATACTCCGTGGTCGAGCTCTCTGGAGCTGGTTCTCGAACCGGTGCCCCGTTCTCAGTCCGTATCTCCTCCCGGTGCCGCGCCATGGCCGCCGCGCAGGATGGCCGTAGCCTTATGGAAGGACCCTCCTGCATCTTCGTCGGGCCCGTGGAGACTGCCAGTCAAGAGACGCTAGAAGCTCTCTATCGCCAAGTGAGAAACCATTACTATCTTGCCTCTCCACTTTCAACGACCGCTTGTACCCATCTCAAATTATTTATTTAAAGATTTTGCTCATAATTCTTTCCTTCTTCCGTGGAAAAAAAAGGCTCGAGAGGCCTACTATAGCGGAGACCCTTTGATTGTTGATGACATGTTTGATAGAGTGGAAGTATGTTCTCTAAAGCTATACCTTTTATGGTACTGTTATTTATTATGTGCTCCTCATTTTTCTGGTGTGTTAAATAAAGGGGACCATGTTGTGACAGTTAAAATTGCGGTGGTATGGATCCAAATATGTCGTCAAGTATCCCCGTTGCAGTCTCAGGCGGCAATCAACCTATGCTGATGCTCAGGTAATTTTTCTCAGTTATGTGCTTCTTTCTGTGTTTACATACTACTACCGATGTCCTTTCATTTATTTGGTGTTGAAATACGGATAGATTGTGCTATGGTGTAGAGTATGAAGGCGATGCTCATCACTGCTACATTTGTTTCTGTTGTTGCTATGAGGTTGAGCTGTTGAGGATGTGCTCATGTTTAGGTCAAGAAATTAGGAGATAAGTGGTGTTCTGCATGTCGATTTGTATTTTGTTTAGGATTTTTAACAGCTTTATTCGACACATTTTAGAAAAACATCAGTAGGCTTAACAGGGTGATGAGGATAATTGAGTTATTCTAATAATTTATACATGAGTGTCCAGAAGCACTAAACCACTCTCTTTATTTCTCTAAATGTTGCTTCGGTTTAAATAAAAAACAATCCTAATCTTCTTCCTATGGATAGCTAGTGCTTTGACCTGTTAGCAAGAAAGGAAGACTGAGAAAATCCTTTTTCATCCTTTTGAAATTTCGCTTCTGTGATAGGAGAGTCAAGCCAGGCCATTAAAGTTTAATGTTGTGGGTGTATCTGAAAGGAACTAAAATGATTCAAATCCAGACATGAAATGCTTGGTTGCTTCAATCAGGGGAAAGGGGCATTGACTTTTTCATGAATCGCTTCAAATGAAGGATTATATATTTTTTTTTTTATTATTATTATTAGAATTTTTTTGCAATGCTACCGATAATTGAAAATTTTGAATCATTTTTTCCAAAATATACTAATAAATAGGCAAACTTAGCTCCCAAGAACTAAATCACTTTATAATATAATCAGTCGTTACATGTTTAAGTTAAGCAGAGTTTCTTGAAAAATGATACATTCTCATGGGTGAGTATATTATGCGGCTTATTGCTGTAGTGGCCTCCGCCTTTTAGAAGAGGTTGGATTTTGAATTAGAGCAAGCACGTTGTTTTACTTACCATTTTGATTCAGTCTCTTACTCTAGTAAGAAACTAAGCTCTGGCACGGTCCGCAGCACTATATTTTTCATAATCCAATTTTGGCTTGTAGTTTGAAGAATTAATAAAAATAATTAGCATATTAGTTAATGTATAGAGCAAAAGGAATGTGTAGACGCATTTGAATTATTAAGAAACAAATTACCCTTTTTCAGGCATCAGGGTTTGTAAGACTTAAACCTGTCTAGAGCTAAATGTAAATACCATCTGAATTAGTTGTTAGGACACTATACCTGCTACTCGTTTCACCCAGTTAAACTGTATTTGAAAATTTCCCACCTTATCCTGTAAGTGAAAAAATTTGTAATTATGTGAATATGCTTATGAAGTTAACCCAGGGAAATTTCCATGTTTTTATAAAAAATATCAATCTAATTTCTGGATTGAATCATTGAAAAGAGTTTAGACTTTACTATGCAAAGCAAACATCTTTATTATAAGATGAAAGAAGCACCTAAGCAGGTTAAAATTGCTTAAACACTTAATGCGGGCATAGTTCAGAGCCCGTGGTTGTGGCTCTGCCTTTGCCAACTAGCCCTTAGTGGGATGGTCCCCTCCAGTTATTGTTAACCTGCAGTTCAAGGTCAATTTACCATCCTTTTAGTCAAAAAACTATATGTACAATTGCATATATTAACCAAAAAAGGAAGTGAAAAGGGAAAACAAAAAAAGAAAGTCTGACGTTGTCAGATATGAATGAGTAAACTTAACCGGCTATTCCATGGATAGCTCAGGCATGTTTTTGGAGCCATTGATCACTGTCTAGTTAGACTAATCCACTAACCATGGTGAACGCAGACCGGTTGGACAGATCCAATTTGGAATTGTCCACTCTTGCATGGCTATATAATTCTTACCCTACATTGCTGAATAGCTTTAATTATATGGTGTAAGCATATTTTATGAGGTGATGTTTCATCTAATCGGTCTTCGTCTAAGATAATTATTTGGAATATCCCTAGTATATGTAAATGCAGAGTTTCCAAAACCTACATGTCAATTTCTAATACTTAGTATGTCTATGTGTCGATTTCTAGTGCTTCATAATCCTACGTGTCAAGTATCTGGTGCTTTGGGAGTAGTCCCTGTAGATATAGACTTTTATCCATTTCCTATTAGAACTAAATTTATAAAACACTTAACCAACTTAAATTATAAATGTATTTTAAAACTTTCTGTCGGCTGTCGGACACAGTCCTTCACAATACGTTTGCTTGCACCTTTTTTTGGGTGGATGTAGGACCTACCTAATTAATAGAGTGTTCAGTTTGCAACTAATCCACACCACTACATCCTTTTTCCCTTTCTTATCCCTTGGTAACCCCGAAAATTGAATTAACCCAGAATCATCCATACCAATATACCATTTTGTTTCTTTCTTTATTTCATTTAACAAAACATAAGTATTTACAAACTCAACATTAAAAATTATAAATAGGGCGACCTCTTCGTGGATGATACAATAGGAGGAAATACATGTATAAGATAACAGAGAAAGCTAAAACTATTAGATAGAAAAAGGCAGTAAAAATAATATTAGCAATTGAGAGTGTAAATCTGAAGGAGATCAATAATCTTGGCATCACCTGCCACAACACAACCCTCCAACAGAAACAAACATCAAAAGGCCAATCCCTATATAAATTTTAAAACTGAATACATAAAAGACCAATTAAAGAGTAAAGAGGCATGAGTCATGACATTGATATGGTGTTGATAAAAACATATTTTTTCTGAACATTGCGAACATTGAGTCCTTTCTGCATAATTTGCAAGTTCCAGTTTTCCGAGTTCTGTAATTTATTCTTATATTTGTTGTTGCGTTCTGCTCAATCCAAGTAATAAGCATATTTACTGCATTGTGCCCAATCTTTCAACCGTTTAACAGTAAATTAAGGAGTCTCCCTGCTCCAGTCATAGAAAAAAAACAATAATTATTATGAAAAGTGACTTATGAAGTGTGTTAGTCAAATAATATTTACTTGAAGTTGCTTTAGCGTTCAAGCATCACATTTCGAATAAGGTGTGTTTTTGTTTGGCCGATTATTCTTGTGAGAAGAAAAAAGTTAGCCCATCTATCAAAATAATAAAACAAAACTTCATGATCTTCATGTCCTAAAACTACTGAAAATGCGTGATTTTTGTCCAAGTTTTGTCATTAAAGCAACATCAACACAAAATGAATTCATGATGCCTTGAAAATACATTATTTTAAGTCCAAGTTTTCCTTAAAGCAGCATAAACACACAGTCAAATACATGTCCATTTTGTGAATAATAAACGTTCAGTGAAGAACCACCCAGAACTTTCTATTCAATCCTACGTCGCCAAACACTTAAAATATCAACCTACATTTTTTTAATAAGCACTCACATGTTCTCTAAAAAACCCAAAAGTATATCGACGAACCGTAAACCAAATTACAGACCTACCAAACTCTTTAAACTACCACTCTTTCAACATTTTGATATAGAAACAGTTAAGTGGATATCAAGCATAATAATATCAACCAAACGGACTCTAATTGTAAAATAATAAATATTAATTGTATTCTTATATCAAGTTTATTATATAGTATGAGTTAGAAAGTTATTATAATATAAGACGAGCAAATCTTACAGATAATGAGAGTCATTTTTAATAGAAAAAAAATATTTTAAAATTATTAAAAAATTCTATGAAAACTTATACTCCCTCCTATTTTTTTTAAATGTCATTCTAGCTTTATCAACTCTTTGCTAAATAAATGTCGTTTTGGATCTTTTGTACATATTTTTCCATTATTACCCTCATTTAGCTAATAAGTACATTACGTCTTTTCATATTCACTCTTCATTTTTTCTCAAAACATTCATCTCTATCTTCATTAAATAAGGTTATTATTGACAAAAAAAATATTCTTAATTAGTGTGCAACTTCTCAAAACGACATATATTAAAAATAGGAGGTAGTATTTTTTTAGCTTTAACAATATTTTTTTTATTCAATTAAACATCCGTATAATACACGGGTGCTGAAGCACTAGTATCATTTATATGTTGCCACACTTGCCAGTCATGATGTTTAATTATTCGCTGTTCTCCCTCAATATCTGTTAATATTATACTGTTTGCTGCTGAAAACAAAGAATGAAAATGAGCACGAGTCTCATCATATTTGGTTTCATTTATAGGCCTGGTGTCCAGGAAGGGAATAATTTGAGCTATATGTTTAGGAAAGCAGCAAACTGCAATTATTAAAATTATCCTAAATTCAACTCTTAAAAGAAACAATATGATCGAACACATAAGATCTCTCTCAAAATGTCTTGTACTACTATTTGTACCTTGGCTTGAGCAACTAGAAATTGTGCGATCTTACTTCTCATTACTGTGAAGAGCGGGCTGTGGAAAAATTATGCCTTATAGCATATGTTATGTTTTATGTATTTGTAAATTATCTGTTAAAGGAAATATTTGGTAGCTTGATCCATATACAAGGTACAAGTTGCTTAAGTTGGAAAATAGATATAACATTGTCGAATAGCTCTTGACAGCATCTTATGCTTGGCAAACTGCGATCTTTGAACTCTAAATCACATCATGAAATTTAATTAAGTAGTTTCTGCAAAAACCATGCTACTTTATAAATACATAGTGGACAAGCCATCTTCTCTCTCCACTTGAATATCAAATAACATGTATGTAGGGCAGGAAGATCCTTCACAGGTTTTGGCCTTGGCGAGTGTATGGATTTTGATTCTTGCTTTTGGATCTTTGGCCTGCCTTGTGCCTATAATATACACCATCGCTCAATCTTCTCAAGATGGTTTCAACTCGGGATTGTCTTACACTAATCAAACTTCTGCGCTAGAATCTCTTGCCACACTCAATGCAACGCTCTTCATGTTGTTTGGATCCTTGATTGGGTACCCAATTGCATCAGCCTCTGGTAATGAATTATGACATTTTTATCTGTGTTCATAAACCTTATTTTTTAAAATTCTTCTCTCGTTTGTTTTTGGTCTCTTTTGTATCCTTCATATTGCATATTTCATATGTAGCTGTGACAATTTGTGGTTGGCCCCAAGTTGGTGTTAGATCTCGATGTGCTTAAATCATTTGAAAAATATTAGAATATTGTGAGTCATCTAATGAAAAAAAATGGCTGACAGATATCGAACCATAATCGACGAGATACAGATCAACCAAGTAACTTAAAGCTCAATAAACAGAAGTTATCCTAATTGAGTCCCCGTGGTAAATATCCCAAAATCTCCAAAACTTGAATTGTTCACAGATCTCAAAATCTCACATCTCATAATATTTGTGTCTCGAGTTACATTTGATTGACAATTCACGCTAAAGCTTTTGATGATCATTAAAAGTAGTTAGACAATGAAAATGTTAGTCAAAATGTCATCACTTGGATCCTGTTGGAATAGATACTTTACTGGATAAAATTTCTGGGTGATAGTATATTACAGGGGTCTAAAGATGGAAATATTACTTTATTTTACCTCAGTTTCATCTGTCACTTCCTATCGAAGTTATACTTCATGAGTGTTCTCTAATTTGGTAATGCTTGTCAGTTGGAGCACTTCAAGGACTCTGGAGAAATGACTTGGTGGCACTGAAAGGGGCATGCCCAAACTGTGGTGAGGAGGTTAGTGCGAAAGTACATTTGACTTTGTTGTCTGTATTAACTTTATATCTAAACTGTTTACTGCCTGATACTCAAACCTGAGGCATCAAACATTTTATAGCTAGAAGGACCATATTTTGCAGGTGTTTGCATTTGTTAGATCTGATCGTTCTACTCACTCTCCACATAGAGTGGAATGTCATGTATGTGAGAGCTCCTTGGAATTTCGTACAAAGGTTGAGGTACTCGAGTCTGGCCCCAGTTCACATCTTTAAAACCTTATGTGAATTTTCTTTAATAACTTGCCTGTTGTCATTGTTCTCGGAAATGATAGTAAAAATTTTGCTGGCATATTTCTAGCAATTTTGGGTGTCTTCTCTGTTTGAGATTGTTTGTAATGTTTTATCTTCAAATGCATTATAGAAATACAAAGAAAGACTACTGCAATATAGAAAGTTCGTCAGAGAGCAAAAATGTTTCTGCCTGATAATGAGAAAGTGGACCTTCTTTGAAAGTCTGCATGGGATCCGTTACTTATTTCATAGCTGCCACTGATTATATTCATTGGGTTCCTCTTCATTGTATAAATGTGTGTGTTTATGTGTGCTTTGTTGTATGATGACGACCACAATTCTATGGGATTAAACCTATATGACTTGAGGAATGATAGAGATAAAAAGATATAAATCAATTAAAAATGGAATCAATAAAGAATGGGAAGAAATGTATATCAACTAAAGATGAAGTAGAAAAACCCACGATTCTGAAATGCACCGTTTTTTTTTGAGTCCGCAAAGCTTGAAATGTTTTTCCTTTTGGTTGTAAATTTCTTATGCCTTTGAGTTCTCCTCTGAGCAGCAGTTATTTAAATGAAAATTTATTTATTCTTACAGAGTTGAGAGTTTTTGCACAGCAGTTAAGAATGAAATTATGATTTATAATTTCTGCTAATACTGCGTGAATAGAATTGTTATTTGGCCATCAAGATGTTGTAGTGAGAACTGAGTTTAAGCTTCTTCTCCATATGCCTTTCCATGTTAGTTAATATCTGATTAATCTGTTCCATGCTTGCAGCAATCACCTGGTAGACGATGGGTATATGGTCGCATCTACTTAATTCGGCCTATGGGCAGACGCCAAAGATGGGCGTAGGAATGATATATATCTCTGCCTTTCCTTCATTACCTGGATCTTCTTGTACAGGAAGACATTCAAGTTAGATGCTTTTCAGTTGACAATGCACAGCATCAGATTTACCATCTGGGGGCATTTAGTTTATTTTACTTTGATGGTTGGATGTATACAGTACAACGAACGATCTGTAAAACCTTGTGGAAACACCATCACTCTAACGAATTGTTCTGTGTATGTGTACAAATAACGCCACAATGCAGTCAAATTTCGTCGTCTCTCTTCATGCCCAATATCCCCTTGAACATTTATAGGCATGGATTGAGTTGTGGTATAGGTCTTAAAAATATTGTGCTGGTACTATGCTACTTGTAAATTGTCTTTCTCATTTTGGATATTTATTTCATAAATGAATTGCCTTGGCAGTCATGGAACATGAAGAACTTATTTGCATAAAATGGGGAAGCTTGAAAGGTGAATATGATTAAACAAGATCAAGCTAAACTGCAGCACATGATAAGAAAAGCATCTCGTAAGCATTCACATTTCTTACATGATGAAATGTTGTTCAATCTAGAGAAGATGATTCTAAAGTGATACTTTCACGATAGTAAATGGACTGCCGTTAGAAGCGAAGCTCTGTAAACTTAATCAAGGAGTGAAATTGGTGTTCGTTCTACAGTTAAGCTGACTGGCACAAACAAAATGCAAGAATAAATTGTTATCAGTTATCACAGCTAATTTTATCAGACTTCAGTTCAATTCACGGGAAGGGAAATACAGTTGATGAAAGCCAAAGGTTATCCAGATATTTGCTCAAGATAGAAACCTATGTATACAAACTAGCACAAGTACGCGAGACCTATAATCGATAGGCGTGCGTGCAACTTGGTAATCAAGTAGCTTGTGAAGACATCTTTCAGCTATTTTAATCAAAGAAGGAAAGGAAAAAGGAAAATGACATACCCAAGCACACATGTGAGATAATTAAGTGCCAGATCCAAGGTTAGAATTAAACGTGCACAAGAGTAGGAATCCCATTCCTTAAATGTCATAGCTAGCTTATCTACAATCCAAACCAGAAACATAACAAAGTCCAGAAAGAGTAGCATTTAGAAGCTTCTTCATCTAGAGTGAACATCCAACAACTTCCAACCGTGCAAAGGAAGTCAAAACATGAAAATTATAAAGCGAGGGTGACAGCAAAAACATAGATAATAAATCCACTAAATAAGAGTCATATCTCTGGAAAAGCCCTTCAGAGTGCCTCGTCCTTCTGACTTCCCACATAAACAGCCAGTGGCTCACGGTGGTTGCTCTCGAGTTTATCAACCCGGTCCCTCAATTCTTGAATGGTGTCAGTGAGGTGAGAAATTAGCAGAGCAGCTTTCCTCTTCTCCTCAGCTTCCAAATCACCAAGAGTCTTCAAGTCCCCAGTCTTCTGAAGATGCTCACCTAAAGTATCTTGGCAAGTGTAGTCATCAGCTCGAGCAACCCAACCATACAACCCCTTTCCTGAACCAACGGCAGCAAAATAATCCTTCTTCCCATGATTATCAACCTCGAGTTCCTTCTCAAACATGACTGCCCTGTAAAATCCAGACCAGTCTCTCTTAAATTCCACCACTGCATATCCACTACCAGACAGAGGACGAACTCTAACTGGGTCAAACCCTCTCTTGGCCAGATCATTCTTCAGTCTAGAGCTACTCTCACCATCAACATTCGCTAGGATTCCCATCCAAGGCCACACAAACGAGTCATTTATAGCACCATTTCCCAGGGGGACATCAAAACTCAATTCACACAATTTTGTGGCCAACTCTTCCTGGCCAAGATCGTTTTTGATGTACTTGACGAGGCCCAAATGCTTCCCCTTGTGCTTGATATCCCTGTTCTGTGACCCCTTGCTAACATCTGAGGCGTGCTGAAGAAGGTCCTTGAATGGATACACCAGCTTCTTCTTTCCAGGGCAGTACGGGCACCTGTACAAATCATCCGACACCTTCATTTTCTGACTGCCATCCTTCAGCTGTTTATAGCACCGGCCAACATATTCGTCCAACTCCGACTCACTTATGTCAGTTTCATCTTCAGACGAGCAAGACATCTTTTCACAGATCCAGAAATCTAAGGAGCAATATTTTTATTTTATAAATAAAAGAAAAAAATATCAGAGCAGCTGACACTACTACTTCATGCTATTTATTGCAAATCATGAGAAAAAAAAAACACATATACAACCATACTAATGCATCACATTTAATTTTCACTCAAAGAACTTGGCATGAGAAAAACTACATGACATCTACAACCACATCTTGACATATGTTGGCTGTAGAAAGTAGAACATAACGGAAAAGGGAAAACATTTGACCATACAATTTTCTCAGCCACATGACATTCTACCCAACGCACTCCACCCACTTTCTTGTCACAAAAACACGCTCTTTTGGATGGAAACTGAAGAAAAAGAGTGGAAAAGTTTCGCCCTATGTTACAGATCTTAGGTTTCTTTAAAGGTAATAACTTCAAGGAGAAAGACCAACATGCAAATGGCATAAGAGAAAAACCATATCAGATCTCTGCACAACATCTCAAAACGAAATTACCAGAGATTCTATATGAAACAAACGAGTACAAACAGAAATGAGCAGATACGAAAATTGGACCATATCCCACAGAAGCTTGACATCGCATATGTGTGAAACTTATCGATTGGCGTATTTTCTTAAAGAAGATTACAAAACAATCAAACACACAAAAGAAGAAGAGTGAAAATTGACATTGGATATGAACACGCAAATGCATAATAAAATAACAAGTCCAACCTCAGGAGAGCTGGGGATGCGAATTTACTCTACTCAGTTGTGTGTAAGAATATCAGCTGCAGCAGAGTGGTTTGGAGTTTTATTTAGGGTTTTAACTTCCAAAGAAGTGGAGGGGCACGCGAGGACTTTGAAGGAAAATTTAGAATATACAAGTCGATTTTTTTTCTGGCAAAAAGACATTTAAAATGCTGAATGTGAAATAGAATATTATTATAACATTTTTTCATTTGGTTATTGGGCGTTGCTCAGCAAATCCATAAATGTTATGAAAACGAGAAAGATAAAGAACACAAATAGATACTGAATATAAATTATTCTCAATATTTATTCTTTCTTATGAATGTATGCACTTTCACTATTTGGAGTGCCTTTTATAGGCAAATTCTACCGACACTATGCATACAAATAATTCATATCCTATACCCCTTACTATTCACTTCACTATTTATGAATAGTGGTACATTCCACTTGTTCATAATACTTATCTTTGGAATTACCACTATTAAATGTTCGTTTATGCTGCCTCATTAAAAACTTTATCTGGAAAAACCAAGTGGGAAAAAAATCGAGATAAGGAAAAAAGAGTACAGCCGCACATGCTCCCCCTCGAGTTATCATCCGTGCAAATCTCGAAGATGTCTCATTCAAATGTTATGGACATGCTTTCAGAACATTGTAGTCAGGAGCACCTTCATAAATAAATATGCTGCGTTATCACTTGATCGGATGTATTGAATCATGATCTGTTTGATCCATTCAAGCTCTTGTGTATGAGAAGAACTTTGGTGAGATATGTTTAGTTCTGTCACTATTAATGTATCCTTCTTTGGTCTGAGCTACACATGTTGCGTTGTCTTCAAATATCACCGTCGGATCTTCTTATTCGATAATCCACTAGCTTGTTGAATGTGTTGAGTCATGTTTCTGAGCCAGATGCATTTCCTAGTTTCTTCATGAAGTGCAATGATTTCAGCATGGTTTGAAGATGTAGCAGCTAGTGTTTTGTTTCTGAGAACGCCAAGAAAATGCAGTTTCACCAATTGTGCAAACGTAGCCAGTCTGAGATCTCGCCTTATGTGGGTCTTATAAATATTCTGCATCTGCCAAACCAATCATTTCATTTTTTATCATTTGAGTAAAATAATCCCAGATCGATTGTACCTTGGAGATAACGAAATATATGCTTGATTCTATTTTAGTGTCTCTTCGTGGGTGACGAGTTATATCTTGCTAATAAGTTGATAGCAAAAGATATATCTGGTCTAGTGCAATTAGCAAAATACATAAGAGCTCATATTGACTCATATATGGTAGCTCAAGACCAAGTATTTCTTCAGTTTCTTCACAATGTCGAAATGGATCCTTTTCAACATCTAATGTTCGATTAACCATCGGAGAACTAAGGGGATTAGCTTTGTCCATATTAAATCATTTCAGTACTCTCTCTATCTATAAGCCGAGGAAATATTTGGTTTTTCCGAGATCTTTCATTTCAAATTCGCCTTTGAGAAAGGTGACTGCTTCTCGAATTTCATTTGCTGTCCCGATATTATTAAGATCATCAACATAGACAACAATTATCACAACTCCATCATGTGATTTTTTTTATAAAGACGCACGGACATATTTGATCATTCGAGTATCCTTTTTTTTTAGTAATTGTTCACTCAAATAATTATACCACATACGCCCGGATTGTTTAAAGCCATATAATGATCTTTGAAGCTTTATCGCACATAACTCTTTAGCTTTGGAGTTTAGTTCTTCGGGCATTCTGATTCCTTCTAGGATTTTCATGTATATGTCGGTGTCTAATGATCCATACAAGTAAGCAGTCACAACAATCATGAGACGTATCTCAAGATTTTCATGGATAGCTAAACTGATCAAGTATCTAAAAGTAACTGCATGCATGACAGGGGAATATGTCTCATCATAATTGATCCCTTGCCTTTGGGAGAATCCATGTGCTACAAAGCAAGCTTTATATCTCGTGATCTCATTTTTGTCATTTATTTTTCTGATGAAAATCCATTTGTATCCAATAGGTTTTATGCCTTTTGGTGTAATGGAAATAGGCCAAAAAACATTCCGTTTATTGAGCGAATCTAACTCGGCTTGGATGGCGCCTTTCCATTTATCCCAATCATATCTTTTCTGACATTAGTTACATATTTTGGTTCAGGATCCTCAACTTCATTATTAATTTTTTTCGATACCATAAATGCAAATGAATCATCAATATTTATGATCTCATCACGCTTCCAAAGACTTCTATTATTTACGTAATTGATGGAAATTTCAATATTTTTATTTCTTCCTGAAATTTTTCTATAATCTTGATTCTTTTTCAAATTCGGGTCATGAATTTTTCTTTTCTTTCGAGGATTCTTATCCTTACACCAAATTAGTCTTCCTCGTTTCAAGTGTGTCTTTGATTCATTTGGCACATTATCATTTGCCATTTCTTTTGGGATCTCAATTCGAGCAGGGGCATTTACAACTGCCACATGTGATTTGGTCACCCTTTTTAAATCAGTAAATGCATCTGACATTTGATTTACAATATCCTGCAGATATATGATCTTTTGAACTTCTTGCTCTCTTTGTTTGGTGTGAGGTGTTGGTGTTATATACTTAAGCTTTGCTTTAGTGGATATTACACTTGTTAT